TATTTTGTATATTATATTATTATAGTATACATGGAAGAAGCTATGAAGAACGTGTTCATTGATCTTGAGAATCTATGAATAGAGTTCAAAAAGACCTTGATATGGTGTTTATTGATTTTGAGAAGACATATGTTACCTTGTGGGTTGTGGAAATGCCTTGAGTTTAGAGGGATTTAAATTGCGTACATTCGTGCAGTTATGTCTAGGGCTATTCATCGGTCTAAGGCCGACCGGAACTAGACCGACACGGATGACGGACCTGACCGAAGACCGAATTGAATAAAATCATGGAACGAAGATCGGACCTAAATCTATCAAGTTTAGACTGGACCAGATAGATTTAGGTCTGATCTTCGTTCCATGATTTTATTCAATTCGGTCTTCGGTCTGGTCCGTCATCTGTGTCGGTCCAGTTCAGGTCGGTCTTAGACCGATGAATAGCCCTAGACATAACTGCACGAATGTACGCAATTGAAATCCCTCTAAACTCAAGGCATTTACACGAGGTAACATATGCCTTCTCAAGATTAATAAACACCATATGAAGGTTCTTTTGAACTCTATATATAGATTCTCAAGATCAATGAACATGTTCTTCATAGCTTCTTCCATCTCTACTATAATATACAAAATATACATGCATTCTAGACAACTATTTGTATACCAAAATGTGAATGAATGCACAATTAAAAAAACTTACGAGCTGGAAAGACATATTTTGAAAGGAAGCGATGTGTGTGGCCCTGGAGATTTGAATACTTTGAAATGTTTTCAAATATTTTTCCCTGAAACATTATAAATTCAAGATTGGTGAATAATTTGCAATCTAATAATATAAATACATAATTGTATATACCACAATACTTTTGACATTTAATTATTTATCATAATATGTATACTATAATTCTCCATTAGTCCATTGAGCACAAGATATATTTTATGCCACTAACCCACCACAAAAACTCAACTCCTTTAACCTTATACCCACACTAACTGTGTGCTGACGAGCAACAAACTATATGTGGAGAATATAATATCGTGAATCGAAGGACCAAAACCCTGCATGCGCACAAAAAAATGTTCACAAATATTTAGACTTCATTTGTTTCTCTTTTTGTTTAATTGACGAGTCTATTGTCATTATATTTGTACTTGGTAAAAAAAGAATTGCCTTGCAAGCCATCAGACAATGTTTTCAAAGCATCATCAAATTCCTATTAAAACAAATTAACATACAATCAATAATCATCCACGAAGACCCAAATGATGAATTTAAGACAATGTTATTAAAGTTAACCTTAGCATTGAAATCAGAAAGTATGGTCTCCTAAAATCTCTTCTTCATAAAAAAACAATTATCAACTGTTGATGAATGGTAGTATGCAAAAGCTACATGATTGACAAAGATATTCATTGCTTCTTCTAATGCATTGAAAGAAGGCAACAAACGCCCTAACAAGTTTTCAAAGTCACTAGGTGGCTTGAGAATGGGATCTAAACATAAAGAAAATGAAAATATGAGGCATTATTTAATTGGAGATAGAGTATTGTGTGTATGGGTTAGTTGCACTTACATTCTATATCAAGAGAATTTTTGAATGATAACTTATACTTTGCATTTTTGTAGAGGAAAAATGCCCAAATCTCAATTGACACGGGGTCTTCTGAAGGGAGCATTCCTTGCACTCTTATGGCTCCCATGTTGTCTTCGTAACCAAAACAAATTATTTCTTGAACACTTCAATGTTTAAAGATACTCATTAGTGTAAACCAATATAACTTTAAAATAAACCTATTTAAAATTCCAAAACGAGAAAAATGAAAGAATATTTCCAATCTCGAACATGAACATAAAAAACAATTCTAAACTACTTAATATCATAGTTAGTTCTGAAAGGCGTTCACCTCTCTCGCATATGGCGTCTTTAGCGACGGGGGATCACTCAACACCTCAAAATCCCCTTTCAGTGTCGACACAGATTTCATTTAATTGCCTTCTTTTTGGTTACTTTTATTTAAGTGCCTTCTTTTTTGTTAGTTCTTATTTTGATAGTTTCCAGCAAACTCAACAAAATTGGTTGATAGGATCCCCTCAAATAATCTGGTCACTTTTGCTCTAAATCTAGACAAGTTGCAGTCTTACAACAAACTCTTAAACAAAAGGTAATCAAATTGAGTCTCCATATCAGAAAATGGCAGCAACCATAGAGTCATACAAAAAGAACCTCCTAAGCTACCTCTATAAAGTCCAAAAGTAGAAAAAGTAGATCCTTGATTTTGCAAAGACCATGGAGCAAAAAACAGAACATCCAACTCCTACAAAGTCCACATGTTTGATTATATAAAAACAACCCCAAAGTCATAAAGCAGTAGTGCCTACAAGAAGCATCAGTGGACACGCCTGGATTTGTGGCGAGAAGCGTGTGCCGTCTTTGCTCCACGTTTGGATTGACGCAGAAGTGGGTTCTTTTGGCTAGTATCCTCTGCTGAAGCTTAGGATCGCTAGATCTAAGTGATCCGACGGGCGTGGGTAATTGGTAACCTAGATACGTAACTTCTCTTTTTTTTTACTTTTTTTCCTTTTGTTTCCTATTTTTTTTAATTTACTTAATAATGTACAATTACATATTGCCCTAGATCCTACTACACACACATATACTCTGTATATAACTTAGTCAACTATATTGTGGAGTATTATTATTATTATTGTAACTATTGTTAATATTAATATTCTTATTGTTACTATTATTAATATTAATAATAATAACTTTCTTGTTACTTTGTATAATAATAATAATATTATTATATATGTTCGCTATTTTACCACCCGCCTCTCGCATGCCCCTCGCAATAAAAAAAGCAGAAAACTGTACCTGGGTACCCCCTATTTTGAGAAACTAACTTTCGGGTACCTTATATTTTTAAAATATACTCCAGGGTACCCTCTATTGTGAGAAATTAACTGTCGGGTACCTCCAAATGTATATTAACTTACCCATGAGGGACATTCCGTTTAATTCGAAAGCTTCGATTAAACTGGATAGATCGTATCCTCAAAGTTTAAGAACCAAGGTTATTTTTGAAATTCAAAACCCCTATTTCTTAAAATTAATGGCGTAGCTGGCTTTGACGGAGAGTGAGACGGTTTGTCGGTACCCCGGTGTATATTTTATAAATGTGAGGTACCCGGTAGTTAGTTACTCAAAATGGAGGGTACCTCGGAGTATATTTTTAAAATGTGAGGTACCAGGTAGTTAGTTTCTCAAAATAGGGGTACCCAGGAGCAATTTTCTGATAAAAAAAGTCATGATTTTCTTTGAACTTTGGTTTATAACCTCTAGGAGTTCATTTATGGCTTTCACAAGTATAATCTTGCAACTCTTGTATGTGAATCTGCTCTTGCAGACATCCTGAACATATCACCCAATTTTTTTGAACTAAGATTGTCTCTTTGCAAGTGGTGGCATACTTGGAGCATCATATTTGTTTTTTTGCAAATCTCCTCCATACATCTCCCTTGCATCTACTTCTTCTTTTCTTAACATCTCTCTCTCTCTCTCTCATCTCTTGGTATCTTAGAACAAAGAAAATCCCTTGAGTTTTTGTCCTTTTATTAGCTCAATCAAATGTGGTCTTATTCTGGAGTAGATCTTGTCTACAACCAAAGTTGCACATCCAATCTTGATCCTTTTTATCTCCAACAATGGTGATGTATTTCTTCAATGAAGTTGTGACATCAGTACTTGTAGCAACAAAAACATCAAAGGCTTGATCAAAATCTTCCTCACTCATTCTCAACAACTAAATTTAAAAATGAATCACTGCAAAGTAAATTTCTAGGACTTGGTATTTAAAATTTTAAATTAGCAAAGTAACTTAAAAGCATTAATTATTTTGTGCTCAAAATAATCAAACAAGATTTCATTTCTTAAAACATCAATAAAGGAAAAATTAAGGTGAGAGTTTTAGAGTAAAAATTGATGGACGAAACAAAACAGAATGTTATAATTTCAAGGCATTTACATAAATCTATTACTCCTTAAACCCAAATTCTTAGAAGTTCAAAAATAAAAACATAAATACTTTAAAATGTCAAAAGAAAAAAAACTCTTACTAATTCTGTAAAGAAGCTGCCTGAAAGAACACAAGTTTCTAGTTTCTTACAACAAACTCTCTTTGATAAAAGAATATCAATTTATTACACAGAAAAATTCTTACAGAGTGGACTTTAATAATGCTTTGATTTTCTTTGGTTGAGAACTTGAGATCAATAGGCTAGAATTCAAAAGGCTAGAATTCATATTAGAGTTGAATATCAGTCAAACATGAAGATTGAAGAGAAGAATTCTATAAAAAATGATATATAGTAGGCAAAAAAGTACTGATAGTAACCCTACTATAAATACTCTTCATATCTTTTTTTTAAAAATTGTTAAAAAATTGAAGCATATTGGGAGAGTGAAGTAGATTTATGGTGTTTGGGAGACGACTTTTAGATACTAAAACACGCTTTAATTGTAAATGGAGCGTGACCTACATGGTGTTAAGTCGCGCTTTAAAATTATTTTGAGCACGAATTATAATATTATAGTGCGTGACTTAAAATATGCTAATGCGTGGAAGAGCACCAACAAAGCTGGATAAATACTCAGGGATGGAGGTAGTATTATAGTATATTTTATTGCACTATTATATACGATACTGATCTATATTGTTATGTTTGTTCTAAATGAAATTGTATTAAATGTAGCAGTGTATACCGAGTGAGAACAAATAGAATTGTTTTTGAAGGTTTATACAATGAGAAACAAAAAGGTGTTTCTCGGTAAAGGTGGCTTTGGTGAAATTTTCCAAGTGGTATTCCCAGAAGGAAATACTTTCAATTTGGAAGCAAGTATATACACTTTAAAGTAAGCATTGAAAGATGGTTTTGATATTTTGATGATAATGTTGCTATTTATTTACTCCCTCCGTCCACAAATAAACTTTACGTTCACTATTCACAGGGTCAAACTTTATTCACTTTCTTGGCCTATTTTCGTTACCCATTTGATAAAATAATATAGTCATGTCACCTCTAGTTTCTTCACAAATCATTTCGGCCATTTGTTGCTTATTTTGTTCGTCGCTATAAGCAAAAAGGCCGCCCTTACCCCTGTTAGCAAACCGAGAAATTTGGGTTTGCACTTCTTGTCGTCCCTTCTTTTTCTCCGCGTATTTGGCGTACTCCACGGGATCGGATGCCTCGACCTTAGGTGTTTTTCCGGACCACCATAACCGCCGGAAACTCCCATTTTAATGACGGTGGCACAATATTTACAAGTTCCATAAACTATGCCATCTTTTGTTTCTTTTTCAAAATAATAAACAAATAAATCTGATTTTAATTTTTTTTACCTTTGTCCGGACCTTGAGAGGTCTCGGGCTCACCTGCCTCCTCATCGACGTCGTTGCTGTGCGGTGTAGGCTCCCCGTCCATTCCTGCTTCATCAATCTCCTCGAATAAACTTTCAAGAGTTTCGAGATTCGCGTCGCCTCTACCTGACATGTACTGGTCGAGTTTTTGATTCGTCAAAGCGTCGCCCATGAATTGATCGGGGATACTAGGAAAGGAAGAGACAGAGTGTCTTCTTCGAGAACCGCGTGAGGTCGAACCGTCGAAGGTGGCTTTAGCGTTGCCTTTCCTCAAACTTTGGTTCACGGCGCCATATCCACGGACCTTCTACCGGACTCTCTCGACATTTTAATATATATATTTTTTGATATTTAAAAAAATAATATATTAAATTTTGAAAATTTAATAAATTTTCAAGATTATATATATTAAAATTTTGAAATTTTCAAAAATTATAAATTATTTAAAAAATATACTATAATTAAAAAATGAATTATATATTTAAATTATTTAAAGAATATATTTAACAAATTAATTATATATTAAATTTTGAAAATTTAGAAATTATAATATTAGTAATAAACTAAAAATATATGATAATTGATAATATGAATAGTGAATGTATTTATAGTTTATTATGTAATATATTAATATATATTTATATTATTATATGAATATAAATTGTATAAAAATTGAGAAAAAATAATAAGATTGAGAGATTGAGAGATTGAGAGATGAATTGAGTGTGATTTTTTTGGAAAAAAATGGTAGAATTTATAGTAGTTTCCCCCCTACCCCCTCCCCTCCCCCCTCCCCCACCTCAAACGGCTAAATAGCCGTTGAGGTCCCCCCCCCCACTGACTTTTTCCTTTATTTTTTGCAGGTGGACCGTTGGGAAAGCAAAAGCAAAAAAAAATAAAAATAAAACCGGAACCGCACCGAAAATTTGGCACCGGAACCGGTACCGAGGAGGGCGGTACCGGTACCGGTTCCCGGAACCGGTGTAATGCCCCGGCCGGCGGTGACGGTGGTGGGTACCGGCGGTACCGTTGTCGGTCACGGTACCGGTACCGTGTCCACCCCTAGTTAAAGGTAGTATTTAATTTTTGGCATTAATTTTTTACTTTTGAAGAAATAAAAGTCTCCTAGTAATCACAATTTTTATTTGTCCCAATTGTGATTCAAAGATTGTATGTGCTTGATGTTTTGTGAGTTGGATGTGTACTTGAACCATGGAATTAGGGCATTTGGATGATTATTTATTAAATGTAAATAAACTCTTAGTTTTTTTAAATAAATTAATAATTCTATTTTTATTGAAGGTAAACAGAAGTAAGAGTATTACCAAATTGGAACAAGAATGACAATGAAAATGAGCTGGTCTAGTTGAATGGAATTGACTAGTAGCATAATAAGGCATTTGTTAAAAAATGCAATATGGAATAAGTGAATGTGGGGTAGTTATTATTTCTTTGAAGGTCTGATCTTATGTGCGTTGGTAGTGTGGTATTTTATCTGACGAAGTTGTTTCTAATGGAATTGTGAACTTAGATAGTTTGTGTTTTGGAAATTCTAGTTTCTTCATGTAAGCCATAATACTTGATTTGAAGTGTGAATTAGTGTTTTCCATGTCAACTTGATGAACTATGAATTGGGTTTTTAATTCAATCGGCATTCTTTTTTTTTTTTTGAATATTTGAAGATGCTTTTTAAGGCAATGTGTGAAGTTGATGATTTTCGGGACAGAATTGTAATGTATGAGATTCTATTTTCTGAATGGTAAAGTGAGTTTGGTTTGATGAGTGAATGAGTGAAGTTTTTCTTTGATTTGATTGTATTGAAATTACAATGCCTAGATTTCCCTTTTGAGGTGCAAACTCTGGCAGTGTGAGTTATCTACTAAAATGGAAGAATGAAGCCGCAGAGGATTGCACACAGCCACAACACTGGTATTTATTACTAGTTGAATCTACATTGCCGCTGCCACTCTGTGTCGTAACATAAGGATTGAGACGCTCTTTAACTGCCACCGTGTAAGGCATTGGTTGGTGTTAGTCGAATATACGGTGCCAATTCACTGCGAGAGCCTACAAATTAAGATGTTTATGCACTGACAAATGAGGCAGTGTTTGTTGTTAGCCAAAATATACACTGCCAGTTTGTTGTGATAGCAAAAGGTTTAAAGTGTTTATTACTTTTGATATATACACTGCCACTGACACTTTGTTGTGATAATATACTAAGTGGGATGTTTATACACTGCCAAATGAGTCTATGTTTATTACTTTTGATATATACACTGCCACTGACACTTTGTTGTGATAATATACTAAGCAACTAAAGTAAGATGTTTGTACATTGCCAAATGAGGCCGTTTTTTATTTTTAGGAAAAATTATCTCTAATAATCCCACCTTTGGGCGATCTTTCAAAAAAAAGCTAACCTTTCACTGTGACTAATAATAAGCTAAAGTTGTATACTTGTTGCGCGATTTGGGCATCCGGTTAAACAATAATTATTCTCTAACAAAGAGTCTGATCAGGCATTAACACCTGGATAAGTTTCCTTTTTAAAAAAGGTGGATAAATACTGGAATCTGTTTATGCTCCCTGTTGAAATATTGGAATAATAATATTGCTTCTATGAATTATGAAGTACATGATAGAGTATATATAGAAGAGATTCCCAACACAATTAGGAATAGAGAATGGAAACTAACTAACATACAACATCTACCACAAATAGGAATAGGAAACTGATTAATAATCAAATACTACCATAACCAATACTACCAGAAGTAATATTAGTATTATTGTCTAACATCCCCCCTCAAGCTGAACTCTGGCTGAAGCAAGAGGAAGCTTGGACACTAACTGGAAACTGGAAATTTTGTGAAGAGAAAAGTCTGACGTGCGCCGATGGCTGCTGACGTCGTTGGAGAAGAGGAAAGTCTTCTACCAAGAACTATTTCCGTGAGGCCGGTGTCCAGGATTGGAAATAGTTCAGTAGTGGCATTGACCTCACTTAACATTTGAAAGCTCTCTGGGAGGACGGCATATGTGCTATCTTTCTTGTTATACATTTTCATGAAGTAGATCATGATTTCTTTCATATGCTGCGAATGAAATAAAAAGACTAACTTATTAAATTTATAATACTAAGATATAAATATATACGGAATAATACTAATATTAACTTATATTACCGAGGTCTCCAACCAGCCGCCGGCCTTGATCAAGGAACTCCACTTCTTAACAATTCCGTGGGACTCTCCCCTCTTTTCCATGATACACTGAACTTCTCTCCCATCAGCAATTGCCGACTGAATGAATTGATGGAAGGCCTCAAGTTGTTGGCTGGATGGGTTCCTTCGTATGTTGAGTTGCGCTTCTTCGGCTTTATCCAGCTCATTATTATTGATAACCTTTACCTTTTTATGTACATTGGCGAAGGACGCGAAGTAGGGGCTCGATATATGAATACTTCGTTTCTTCTCCCGGAGGCCTCGACCCAATTCCTGGATGTTAAAAGTAATATGTCACGGAAAAGTAAGTTTAATTCAATAATACTCAAATTAAACCGTACCCGTGCAGCAGCGACTTCATCCACATCTGTCAGTTCTCTCAAGACGTCACCATCGGACTCAAGTTTCTACTCAGAATTTTTAAGGAATAAGCATTAGGCAGGATCACAAATGAAAATATCAGAATATAAGTTTATTACCTCATCAACATTGTTTTCAGTTGATTTGCAGAATTCAACAACATCATGGACAATTTTATCACTCATTGCCATCTCATCTTCATTGGTCTCTCCCTCAACTGCAAACTTTTCCTCTTCTTCTTCCTGACCATTAGAAACATAATGCTTTACAAAAGGTTCAAAACATAAGAACATACTTTGGCGACCATAAAAATCAGAGAAAAAAAAGATCGACGAATGTGGTTGACCAAGTTACCTGGATCGGTGGACTCCTATCCTTTACTTCTTCCTCTTCATTAAGGTTAAATTGGTCACCCTCTTCTTCCTCTTTCTCTTTAGGAATTCCTTCAAAACTGGAGAGGTTGACCATATTAACTGCCATGGGCTCATCTTCTTCCTTCCCAACTTCTTCCTTCCCATCTTCTTCCTTCCCATCTTTTATTTCCTCTTCATTATGGTCCACCCATTCAAAACTATAGGGGTCGACCATATTCACTTCCACCGGCTCTTCGACCTTCCCATCTTCTTCCTTCCCATCTTTTATTTCCTCCTCTTCATTATGGTCCACCCCTTCAAATATAGAGTGGTCGACCATATTCACTTGCACCGGCTCTTCTTTATTCCCATCTTCCTTCGCTTCGTCAGTCCTTCCCTTTAAGGTGTCAAGTAAGGTTAAGAGAATTCTTTCTTCTAGTGTCTGAAATTTTCTTTCCAATATATTCTCCACCTCCTGACATAGCGTTTTTGAAGCTCAGAAAATTTACCATCAATGTAATCTTTCAGTGAATCAGGCAAGTTTTGACTAGAATTTCCACTAAAAGATGAAGCATTGATATTGGTTGTTCTTTCCAACTGAGGGCTCTGCGTTTCCAACAGAGGTCTGTGCTCAGCCTTTCCAAGTGGGGTGCTCAGCTTTGATATTTTTCTCCTCCTAAAGACATACTTTTTGGAGGGGACTTCTGACCCCTCACTTGAAGAGTGAACTTCATCTGATGATGAATTCCTTCCTACAGCAACTTCATCTTCACTTGCTGGGGCCAGAAGTTGTTTTTTCAGGCATAATTGTATATGCTTGTCACCACCTTGGATTCCCCTTACGAATTCTCCAAGAGTTGGATTGGAAACAGAAGGCAAGCTAGGAGGTGTGATCCAAGGGGCACGTATTTCACTTCCCTCTGGAAGAAGAATGCTCCTAACACTCTACAAAAGAAAGAGCATATTTAAAAAATGATTGTAGATCATGAAGTCGACCTTCACTTTAAAGACCTTAAGTCGACTTTCACCTTAAGTCGACCTTGTACTTTAAAGTTTAGCCCTTACCTTGGCAGCGTTTAGTGCATTGATTATGGCTTCGTGCGACGGCTTTTTTGAAATTTTATTTTTCCAGATACACATTCTCGGAAGTGCTGGATTTGTTTGCTCCATCTTCACTCCAAATGTCTCTCCAAAATCATTAATGCACTCAAATAGGAGAAACTGCATTCAGCAATAAATGAAGCCCAATTTAACCAATGAAATTATAGGAACTTTTAATATCAATTTAAATTAATTTACTCACGGATGAGGGGAGGACAAAGCCAGTGTAGCGGAGGGTGTTGGATGTTTTCCCGCCTTTGACAAGCTTCTTCTTTTCTGAAACTAAGTCCTTCCCCAAAGATTGGATACGGAGGGACTCCAGGAATGCCCATGCCCCCCCATGGAAAAGACATGGAATCATCAGAGTTTGCAACAGTGGCAAGGATCCATTTCGGAACTGGGGCATCTTTCTTAGCATGACCAATTAAAACGAAGACAACAAACATCAATGTCGCCACCTTCACTATCCACTGGAGTGCATACTCTTTCTTCCCTTCATCGTCAAGTAGCCGGCACAATTTTGAGAACCTCTCGACAACAGAAGTGTAACATACCACACTCTTTGACCAGTTTTCTTTAACGAAAACAGGCAGTGAATCCTTATCATACTTCTCTTCGTATCCAAGAGCTAGTTCTGAACATTTGAGTCTAGTAATCAAGGAAAATTCCATTAGAGAGTATCTAAATTTCAATGTTTAGTACTCATGGCACATTTGGTAGATTGTTTAGATAGGGTAAAAAACTTAGTATCCCTACCAAACGCAACCTCGGTGTTCTGATTACTAAAGTTTTGCTTGCCATTTTTGAATACTGAAATGGAGGAGTCTAACTGTTGATGTGTTTTCCGGGTAGTGAGCCCTGATGGCCTTCTGCTGCAAAGCTCATCGGTGGCTGATTCAGCACCTTTCCAATTCTCGGATGGGAAAACGGAATCAGTCCCTTTTTCGTACATTGAGTTTGTTGAGCGTCTCGTCTTGCCAGAGTATAAAGATTTGCCTGAGAATGATGTAAGTGATCTTACCTCTGTGAAATTCACTCAAAATAAATATAGTTCCCTGAAGAAGGGGACCTTGACATGGTGTAACACCCTCTTGTATAATCATAAGGTAATAGGCAATGGGTGCGTTCCCAAGTCATCAGCCCCCCTTGACATCCTATGTCATTGGCCCCATTTGGAGTTCTTACGGTGCTCTGTTTGAAAAATTGATGGTCCCAAACCTATCCACACTCCTGTGAATTGCACCCCAAAGACTTTGTTGACTTTAATGGTTTACTAGAGGGGTTAGGCGAGTAGGAACCATCAATTTTTTGGACGGAGATTCCTAATGTCATGGGAACCAAGGAGACATTAAAACCCTTATGTTGGGACACTTCGGAAAAATGCATCATTTTCATTTCTCACGTTAGGAGTCATTCTGCCCAATGCCTTCATCTCATGTATGTTTATAATAACTTGATGTCTCTGGCAATTGATTTACACAGGTGAAGGAATTTCACCGACGAGATGGCTTCGAGGTCGGAAATGCAGACATGATCTTCGAGAGCACATCCAAGGATCAACTTACCAGGCTTTGATCATTACTAATAATTGTTAGAATTTGTGTGTTCTATGTTCTTGCTGCAGCAAGATGCTCCTGAAAAACGAAACCTCATACTCCGTATATATTTATAAATCATGTAACACAAATAATCCGTATTGCAGAAAATCTTTACACAATGTTTGGTTCAAAAAATTTGAATAGAAAAAAAGAAAATGAACTACTCCCTCTGTCCATTAATTAAGTTCCTGGTTTGACCGGGCACGCATATTAATGCATGATAAAAATTGTATTGACTTTCCTAATTTACCCTTAACATGTCTACTACCCCAAATGCTTCTCCACCAAGGACGGAGGGAGTCAAAGCTACCGCGGACGACTCCCCTGCAGCGCCGACAACGATTCTCCGGCATTGCCGCCGCTGACTCTCCAGCACCATCGCAGATGACCTCTCTTGCACTTGTAGCCACCATCGCCTCCACAATCCCCACCCAAGTAAATCTGTTCTGGATCTTCTCATGGAAGACAACACATCGGTAAAAGAGTAGATGCAAGGTTTTAATGGCGTAAAAACTCGTCTAGATTCCAAAACTGACTCCGCCTTCTTTTCTAAAACGTTTAGCTTGTACCCAGCATCAGAGGATTTGTAGATCTATACCATCACTGCCAGCAATGTCGAAAGAGGAGCGGATCTTACCGCCGGCTCGCTGCTCCATCATTAATTTCGATCGCCGCCTCGCTCCCAATCAATGGGTGGTAGGCCAAAATCAAACGGGGAAAGAAGAAAAGATAAAAGAAGATGAAGAAGAAGAAAAAAGAAGATGATGATGACGATAAAAGAAAAGAAAGAGGAGGAAGAAGAAAAGAAAGAATAAGAAGAAGAAGAAGAAAAGAAAGAAAGAAGAAGATGACGATGATTGGTGGAGAGAAGAAGAAAGATCGAGAAATAAGGATTGGGTGGTGGCGCTGGATAGACTTGCCGAGAATGAAGAAGAAAAGTAGGGGAAGGTAACAAAGTCATTTGATATAAAAAAACTTGCCAAAAGAAGTAATGGGAATATTAATTGTGGACATCCCAAAAAGGAAAGTGGGAACTTTATTATTGGACGGAGGGAGTAGAAAGGAAGAATAAACATTAAGAAATATTTTAGGAACATATTGTGTGTTAGCACTGCGGTATGCATGTTCATTATTCACTCATCAATAAAAATTAGACATCTGGGCAATGAACAATAATATGGAAATCATATAATTATGTCAATCTAATACATAGTATATACTCCGTATAATTACTCCGTACATATTACACATACATATACCACAGGAAATAACGTTACTGAAATAGATATATGTATTTTGATTTGCTTTGCAACACTAACCATGCATGATTTTAATTTGTTGGGATGAACAATTCTTGGCCTGAACACAATTTGTATAATAATGTTTTGACAACCAGGTAGTCAATGAGATCTGAGTTCGTTGAACCAAAATTAAAATATACAAAGTATTTAAAATATAGTGTGCTATAGTGTGCTATTTACTGGAGTATTTATCTCAATTATGTTTGCAATAACTCATTGCTAAATATATCAATTATTTAATATATTTAATATATTTAATATTATATATTATAATTATGGTTGTTACCTATTATAGTTAGAGTTATTATTATATAATATTACCTTAAATAATTAGCCATTAATATGGAGGATTCTAGAATATATTCCTCCACCTATAAATACATAATTGTATTCCTCTTCTATTATTCTATTATTCAAGCAATAAAGCTTTATCTATTATTTTTACACTCATGTCTATGATAATTGATTTACATAGGTGAAGGCATTTCACGGGCGAGATGGCTTTGAGGTAGAAAATGTGGACATGATATTTGCGAGCACATCCAAGGTTCAACTTCGTATCAGATGAAATTCTTACTCTATGTTTGGTTCGTGGAATTTGAGAGGAAAGGAAAAGAAAGAAGTTTTCTCCTCATTTGCTCACCCAAATAGAAAGAAAACTATTTTCCTTTTCTTTAGCTCATTTCTTCCATTGTCTTTTCCTTCCACTTTTTCTTTCTTTTCCCCGTAACCAAACAAGAAAATTTGTTTTCTCTCTCGTTTAATTTTCTTTTCCTCTTCAAATTTCTTGAACCAAACATAGTGTTAAAGTGCACAAACATCTTGCTTTGTTTTCTTTAAAATGTAAAATTAATGTTGAACATATACCTTCAACTGAAAAATAGAAAACAAAACCTTGTACCTAGACGAGAAGAAAACATAGAAAAAGGCATATTGTAACCCATCCCAGAATAAATTTCCAATTGCAATGCAAGCAACAAAGTCAGTAATTTTGACACATGATTGAAATAGTTTTCAATTTAATTTATTTGGAAAATGGTTAGCTTAAATGTTTAATATGGAGAAATACGGAGCCTAATTTTTGTATTCAAAAGTTTTATGAAAAAATAAAATGTGGCTTGAGTATTTATTTTATCCCGTTATCAATGATGAATATACGCGGTATAATGGAAACAATATTTTTTTTTTGTGCATACCGAATGAACCTAGAGGTGCATTACAAATGACAAAGTACAAATGGGCAAAAGAATGAACAACTAAAGTAGTTCATGAAAATGATATACATACGATCTATTACATTTACGAGCTTTTACATGGAAAATTTTGAAAAAATTAAGGCGGTAATTGTGTAAACTTTTCTACCTGCGCTGAAATTATATATTAGGTATTTTACGGGCGCGCACACATACACATACATATAACATAATAGACCAGGTCGTTACTCCCAGTTTGACCACTCAACCCTTGACCTACTACGACGTCTGGTCCTATTTTTAGAACATTATACACATCGGTATGAGTTTCATAAAGTTTATGATCAAGCTCATCTTTGGTCTTGCCAAATGGATACAATAAAGATCATATCAGCACACACACACACACACACAATCGTCAACTGAGACACATGTGCATCCGAAACACAATTCAAGTGAAAATACACACAAGTTACTCTTCAATCCTCTGCCTCTTCTTCTCCAGGGGGAGGCTGACTTCTTGCTCCAAACAGCTCCGTTTCTGGGCAGCACTATTCTTTTCTTGCTTCAAATCTTTGAGAGCCCTGGCAAGAACTTTCGCCTCCGCTCGGACATTTGGACAATCGTGCAAACAATTCATCACCATTCTGGTAACTTTAATGCCAACGTTACAATCTTCGTTAAGGCTTTTGTCCACGAGATTCTTCACAGATTTCTTCTCAAGTTGACGTTTAGCCCAACTCTTTAAAATATTATATCTGCTTTCTAAAGTGTGCTCATGTTCTATGCTTATCAACTCAAGAAGCAGGCAACCAAAGCAATATATATCACACTTGGCTGTCCATTCCACTGCAACATTAATTATTACAAGTAAAATGAGAAGCAACAAAACAGTATAAGCGGACACATGGCATTCAACTATCCCTGTAAAATGTTTGACCAAGTAAATCACGCCAAAGCAAATTCCAAAGGCCTCAAAAGACTCGTATACTCCTAAAGGAGAACAATAGCTGACAAGCAAAGCTAGGAAGTCCATTGTCTTAGTAATCTTGTAGATTCGAGATGCTCGTGCTCATTTTCATTTTTTGCTGGTTCAAACTGTGAGTATTGATATCACCCAGACCCCAGAGTTACAGTTGTGTTGTTTTTCTTAATTAAAGCATATAAGCTCCTAACCATCAATGAGTGCTATAAGGTCTCTTTAGCAGCTGAACACGTGAAGTTTAACCACCACCTGGCCCTCTGTAAAACAGGTTTAACCCCCCCCCCCCCCACACACCACCACCAAGTGTGGATCCTAAGTGGCCAAACATCAAACCCAAGGTCATGCCACGAACCTTGTACAGCCAGCATGCTGCCGCAGACCAATTTTGGCAGCCCCACAATAACATGATGTAGGCCTGACAGCAAACAACCGAGTACCTAAGTGACAGGAGGAGACCAACCACCAGCTGGCCCTCGGCATTGAATAATGATTTAAAATAGAAAAAGTTCATGTCGTAAACATGGCAGTTTAGCATCAATTGCAATTATTATTTTCAGCAGCCCAGCCCACATCACTCAGTTAATTTTAAAAACACGTCGAGACAAGGTTATATGAAACTATGAAAGTTTGCATGACCAGGCCTGTCCCCACCCCTAGTGCATATTGAAAGATGCCTCAATTAAGTTGGGTGTAGAGGTGGAGCTTGATTCACTACACACCCCACAGAAGATATTTTTAAACTTTCAAGAAATTTGAATGGTTTTATACACATTTTTAGGATATTGATGGCAATGCTACACAGTACACAGCACATTGCAGCAAAGTTAATGAATTTGAGGATTAGAAAATTGTGTCTAGTCTTCTGTGACTAGCACAAGCTTATGAATGAGTTTTATATGATGTCAATTTGACTAGAAATGATGTAGGTGGTTGTGTTGGCCAGTCAAACACCTACATGTGCAAAGGATGAAGAATGTGGAATTGAAGAAGCACAAATGGATGATGTCTCTGCATATAAAGATGCATGTGACAAAACATGAAAGCATGTGTGATAACATCACAATGTCAACCCCTATGGAGAATAAAAACTAGGAATCTGTGATGTCCAAGTGAAAAGTACCAATGCGCGGCTGAGGTGTGATAAATTTGAGGTGAATGGTTAGAAAATACATGAAATTGTTGTGAAACGAGGTTTGATATTTTTTATTTTATTCTTTTGGTACGAAATTACATAAGATTGCTTATGAGTGAAAATTATAAAAAATACAACAACCCAATGTGCACAGATCTTATCCCAGCTCAAACAAAAAGAAAGGCATATGGCATGCAAGAAAAACAAAGAGCAATTAGTGTGAAGAAAAATGAAAGGAGACAAAAGACACACAAAAAACTACAACAAAGACCCTGGTTCAAAAGACTATCCAACTACTCTAATCCTAGATCTCCAGATGCTCCTATCTAAAGTCATATCCTTTGTAAAGGCTAGAGGTCCTAAGCCATGCCTAATCACATCCTTTCAATTCTTCCTAGGACTATCCCTTCCTCCACCCACTATCATAATTCATAACCCTCTCGCATCGACATAAACACTTCGTCGTTTCACATGACCAAATCATCTCAACCTAGCCTCTCACAACTAATCCTCCACAGGATCCACTGCCACCCGTCCCCGGATAACCCCATTTCAAATCTTATTCAACCTTCACATCTACCTCGGCATCCGCAACTTTGCCGCATGTAGACAGCCTTCTTACCGGCCCAACACTTTGCTCCATAAAGCATAGCCGACCTGACCACCGACGATAGAACTTTTCTTTCATCTTTGCTGAGATCTTAGTGCACAGGACCCTTAAAGCTAGCTTCCACTTAACCCAAGCGACTCCAATACGGTGAACAACATCCCTACTTATCTCCCCATTTGCCTGATTTATTAAACCATGATATCGAAACTTATATCTCTTAGGCACTGTGTATGAATCAACTCTAACTACCACTTTTGAATTCGTCACCGGACCATTGAAGCAGCATTCTAATCTTCTGAATCATAGGGACTGATGCCACAACTCCAACTTGTCATTGAGTCTGGCACAAGTCTTGTTGATTAATAGAATATCTTTAGCAAAAAGCATACACCAAGGAACTTCCCCTAACACATCTTGCGATAGAACATCTATCAACAAGGCAAACAGGAAAGGACTAACCCAGGCGTAACCACACCTCTTTAGAGAATATAGTAGAGTCACCCATGGTTGTCATGGCGCATGGCGACATTCATGGCGATTGCGCAAATATGGCGCCGCCACAGAACAATAGTCCACACACACACACACATATATATTTGAAAACATTAATGTAACACAAAAAAACATGAATAGAACACAAATGTTTTGATCAAAGAAAATGTAAGGCTTTATTGTCACCAAATATTTAAAACTTAGATTCTAAAAAATCTAAAATAATTTTATCTACAACCATAAATTAATTCAATAAAAAATTAAAAATATACTCTCTCTGTCCTATTTTAAATTGCATGTTTGCTTTTTTTCCGTCCCAAAATAAGTTGCCTGTTACTAGTTATTGTAAACTTTTAAGAATAAAATACCTAAACTACTCCTAAAATAAGTCACTCTTCTCCACCTTATCTTCTCATTCATCGTCATCCCTTCTAAAAAATAATGGCAGTTTCGAAAAATCAACTCTATTTTTTCTCTTCCTTAAATATGCCCAAAAGTCAAAACAGACTAAAAAATTGCAAAAAAAATAAATTAGAAACAAGTTAGGCTCAAAAGAGATATTAGAAGTTATTGTTCTTATTAAAAGCAGTATCATAGACTGTTTTTCCGTCAAAACTTAAGATTTGCATTTTTTTAAATGTTTTGGTTGATCGCGATCGAGCCGCCGTTCCAGAAGATCTCAATTCCTAATCTTCCTCACAATCTAAATTGCAAACCCTAGATCGATTTTGACTACCTTGGACCTGAACCATGCAAAAAATGGCAATGGCGAGGCAATGGCCCAGGAATGGCGTTGCCGTTGGAACATACATCGCCACGTGCATATTTGTGGCGATTGAAGGGCAAAAGTCCAATGGCACATTTATGGCACACACAATTTGCACCATCGATAACACTGGAGTCACCACCTACGGTCTTCACCATAGTCTTTGACTCGACATATATATCTAGAACCAATGTACCCAATCGAAACTCCTCCAAACTCAAAACATCTCCACAAGATCTTCCTCGGCACCCTATCATAAGCCTTTTCAAGATCAATAAACACCATGTGATGGTGCTTCTTCTTAGCTCTATACTCTTCTATCAACCTCCGCAAAAAGTGAATAGCCTTGATGTCACCCTTCCTCTTAGAGCAACTCTAAGAGAAGGGGTAAATGAGATGGTAAGGTATAATCATCATCATATTTACCTTTTTTTAAGGAAAATTTATTCTCGAAATGAGGAGGTAAATGAGAAGGTATTATACCTTCTTTAATTTTGGGAGGGTATCATTACCTTCTTCAACTTGGGATTTTGTGGAGGTATATTTACTTTTCTCACTTTTTTGAAATTTTTGTTAATTACTTTGTTTATTGTATTTTTTTGTATATTTGCTTGAATGTATGGTTGTAAATTTTTAATTTGAATCCTTGCAATTTGTAAAACTCAATGAGTCTAACGATAATGAAAGAGAAAAATTTCCTTTTTAGTTTTGTAGTTTTTAAGTTTTTTCTACTCTGGTATTTATAATTTTACATGAATGTTTGGGCATAAAGTAGATTTGATTATTTGACATTTTTAATTCTATCCCCTCCGTCCTAAAGCCATCTTCCCATTTCCCTTTTTTTCTCGTTCTAAAAGTACCTTCCCACATACAAAAAAGATGTATGTCATGACCACAATACCCTCATTCATTTACTCATCCAACCACCTTTCCAACTTCACCTCTACGACACCATCTCTCCACACCCCACCTCTATCTCTTCACCTCCTCTCTCTCTCTCTCACAGTCTCACCTTATCTTCTTCTCCTCCATTCTCTCCGCCTCCCTTTTCACATCCTCTCTATTTCACCTTATCTCTTTTTCTCCCCATTCCCTGGATCTAATCATCATCGGCCCACCTTCATATGGATTTGGTCAATTTTCCTTATGAATCGGCGGTGACGGCTACTTATCCGGCACGGCACGGCTAGATCTAATCATCATCAGCCCACAGATGACTTATTATCCGGCATGGCAGAAACTGGTCCGGATTTGACGGCATCGAGCAAGCGTTTGCTGACCTCTTTGGAAAAGGCCTGGAAGATCTCGATGGCTTCGTCATCGGGAGTAGCAAAGCGGAGGCGACAGTGTTAAAAGCTTCCTTGTTAATAGCCTTGGTGAATGTTAAGCAATCCTTCGGTGGAAAACTATCTGCCTTAGTTTTTTTTAAAGTTTATAAGGAGGGGTAAAGTTGGATGTCAAAGTAAAAATAAGCAATCCCTTAAAAATGAGTTTTAGTCAATGTGGGAAGGTCAATATACGACGGAGGAAGTAATATTTTGCCAAGAACTTAGATTTTTATAAAGTTTTTTAAATTTAAAAATATTCAGGAAGAAACAAAGGCAACAACCCACAATTTACCTCTCCATTTACCTTATTGGGAAATTTCTACATTTTAAGAAGGTATAATTACCTTTTTGAGAAGGTAAATACAGTAATACAAAATATACCTTCTTAATTTACCAACTCCCATTGGAGTTGCTCTTATGCAATGGAATGATCACTTTTCCTCTGTTAATCACACATCCTTTCTCATCTCAGAGATGGCCTTCACCACCACTCCCTAACTAATGTGCCGAAAATAACCAAAATCTTAATGCCTCTCTAACTGCCCCAGCTCCCCTGGCTTAAGCCTCTTTTCTCCTCCCGCATTAAAAATGCCATAGAAGTATTCCCCCCACCGGTTGGATTCTTCTACCTCTTTGAACAAAACTCTGTTATTGTTGTCTTTCACACATCTCACATGTTCCAAATAGTCTTCCTTACACGCGCCTTAGCTAGCCAAAATAGCCTATTCTCACTGCCTCGCTCCTCTAAGTCCTTAAAAAGATGTTCAAATGTTGCATTCTTCGCCCTTGTCATCTCTACCTTTGCTTCCATACGGGCAATCACTCTTAAAGACCCTTTATCAACTAAACACTACAGTCAACAAACCTTTGATAAGCTACCTTCTTAACCTCCACCCAAGGTAGTCAAACTCGAGATTCTACGTTAGGCTCAATAAAGATCATAACTCGAATTGTAAGATCCTACGTATAATATATATATATATATATATATATATATATGTATGTATGTATGTATGTATGTATGTATGTGTGTGTGTGTGTGTAAAATAGACACACTAATTGAACACACATGTTTTAATTAAAGAGAAAGATAATAAATTTTTAAAAAAACTTGGACACTAGGCAAAAGAGGCACCGCCATCTACCCTCTTGTAGAATTAAACATTGAAGCAAAAAAAGCAAAATGAATTCAATTAAACATAAAAAAACTAATGCTATAAATTAAAATTATACCTGGGTAAAAAAGTGAAAGACTCAAATCGTAAAGGAATAGAAAGGTAGAATAGCCGTGTGAAGTCAGAGATACTGCACAAGCACTTCTTTGTAAATATTTGTGCGCGTATATGAGAGAAAGTTAATTTATACGAGAAGAGTAGTTCGAAAGAGTCATCAGCTCATCGCTATAATTATCGAAGCGGCTTAACAAAGGGTTTGTAATTTTCGCAGGTAAAAGTTTTCCTAATTTTGATCGCAAATCCCAGCCAATTCTCCAATCTTACGTTCCCATTCGTCGATCCAAACGATTCTAAGGGGGATTGCAATTTTAGCTGCGATTCAGATCGAAATGGGCCTAGCGATCTGCCAAATTGTACAATCGTACGATCTGGATCGCAAGTTTGACTACCATGCTTCCACCTTACTACAAACCACATCACTCCAACACCAATCACCTCTATGTCGGCTCTCAATAGCTTTGCTCACACCTTGCACTTCCCTAATATAATTTGCAGTCTTAGACCACATGGTTGGCCTCTCTATGGGACTCCCACGCACCTTTCTCCTAGATTCGAGCAACCAACCCAGGGATTTTCTCCTCGACTAATCTTCCCAATTTGATATGTGGACTACATGTCATCCTTCTCTTCTTCACCCACTTTATACTAACATCCATCACCAATAGCTTATGTTGGGTCATGAGGTTCTCCCTCAGGATTACTCTAACATCCTTACATATCATCTGATCACACTTGCAAAGAAGGAAATAATCAATTTGCATCTTCCCCACTCTGTTGGCAAAATTAACTGTGTGGCACTCCCGCTTAGGGAAAAAAGAATTAGCAATCACCAAATAACTCGCACTAGAAATTCTAAAAGAGAAACCCCCTCCAAATTTCTACCCCTAAAGCCAAATCCTCCTTGCACTTCTTCAAGACCCCGACCGAACCCCCAATGTGGCCATTAAAGTCGCCTCTAACAAAGACTTTCTCAACATGCGGGATACCTCCTATGACCCCATCCAAGTCTCCCAAAACTCCCTCTTGACTATGTCACCCAAACCAGCTTGGGGGCATATGATAGCACGCCACACACTACTAACTAAATAACCATTAACTGATCAATTGACCGTACCTCCACCACAAACTCCCACAGCTTTGGTGCCACCAAAATGCCAACAACATTATTGTTCCTTGCAACACCTGAGTACCACAACTTGGATCTGTCCACATCTCGTGCCTTAATGCCCACCCATCATGCAAACACGCCAACAAAATCTTCCTTTGCTGAAAACCTACACCAACTCAATTGACTTACCCGTGAGGGTTCATGAGCCAAACCGCACAATGGACACTACATTACCCCTCCGTGCTACCCAAGACACGACCCTAAGTTTTCATTACTAACCAAAGCCATCCTACTAACACACTAACACAAACAAAATACAAGTTAGTAAAACTAATTAGGATGGATTTAATGTTAAAAAAACATTCATTGAGCTTAGTAAAGACCAAGCTCACATATTCCAAGAAAATGTATACCTGCTTTGATAGGATTTTGAGCTTGGTGAATCATAAGCTCAGGAACTTGGAAACTATATATTCCTCCAGTAATCCACCAAGCATCACTAGCAACTAAACCAGAATCTGCTTTCCGAGGTGTTAGCGCATCTATAGTGCCACACAAACCAAACTCACATAGTTTGATTTTAAAATTCTGCATAAACATGACAATATTTGAAAATATGATTCCAAAATTAATCCAAGTACAGGTGTAGGAAAGATGTGTGTTATGAATCACCGAGTCAACTAATATGTTCTGAGGATCAATACTTCCAATGGTCTTGCCATTATCGTGAAAATACTCCATCAAGGTGGCAATCTGGTAAGCCACTTCCATTCTCTCATCCCAAGTAAAATCTGTCATGGTAATTAACGAGTAAGCACTTTGCACCACATTTTTTTTTGCAAATTTGCTACTAATTGCACAGCATACCCCATTAATTAAAGATCCAAAAAGATGAATTACCAGGGCAAGAGAGAATATCTTGCAGAGTCAAACAGCCTTCTCGTTGATAGACAACAGCAAACTGTTTGTCGATGGAGTATCCAACTAGTTTTGGCAGGCATGGATGTTCCATGCTAGTTAAAAGCATAATCTCATTCTGAAACAAATACAATCAATTGCAGGTACTATTATGTTTTTTATTTTTCAATATTAATAGCTAAGATTATTAGATCCCGCCAATTACAGGGAAAGATTTACCCTCAGTCTTTTGGAATGCAACTCAATTTGTCCAGTAGGAGGATAAAATAAGTCCCAGGTTTTGACGAACTTGTTTGCATCCAGTAACATTCTGCCAAACATAGTCTTCCCCAAAACGTAATCATCACCAATGTGATGAGTTAGTGGTGCCAAATAGGGAAAAGGAAAGTGCTTCACGTCATCCAGATCAGTTCCTTGTAAAGGACTGGTGAATGGAAAACTAATCAGACATTGAATATGTTAAAACCGGAAAAATCACAATAAGCATATTTGAGCATCTGTGAAATGCTCATCCGTACTTACAGTTCGCCAGTCTGGCAAATATCCAATTCCGCCCATTTTCTGTAAAAAGAGGTGAAGGAGGAAAGCTCGACGGCCAGCGGATAGTTCTCCTTGTAAAAGAGGAGATCGCGAGGATTCAAAGCATTTAATTTTTCCAGAAATTCATCTTTCTTCTTCTTATTGTACTCTTCCCTCATAAGCATCTCCCTTCCTGTGATCGTGCGGTCTTCCATGGAGACTAGGGTTTCCAATAGATCTTTAATCGGGATGTATGAACGAAAGGAACCTGTGGTGGGAACTGAGACGTTAAATTGAGAGGACCAAAGTCATTCAGATTTCAAAAGGCACGGCTCACACATGAAGGTTTTTTGAAGCTCTTAAGTCCTCCTGGTCAATCACAAATGCCGGAGGGATGAGGGGGTTGGCATACAAGCTCATCCCTTAGGCCATCCGCATTGGATGGACAAGTGAGGCGGAAGAGAAGCTTTAGTCCGGAGGAGTTATCGCATTGGAAGGACAAGTGGGAGGAGAAGCTCTAGTCCGGCTCATTTTTCAAGACCAGGCCTTCTTCTCCGCGGAGAAGATGAGATGAAGTAAAGCATTGTCCACTTCTTTTACATTTTCAAATGGAAAAATTACCCAAAATAATCTCAACTTTATCCAGTCTTTCAAAAATAATCTCACCTTTCACTGCATAATAATCCCAACTTTACTAAAATTTGTCACTTTTGGGTCGCCGTTAAGTTTCTAACGGAAGGTTAACGGTAATACCCGTTTTAGGCAACTAAATGAAAGTTGAGATTATTTTTGATTAATTTTATTTTTTTTATTTTTTTATTTTTTTAAATTTTTCATTTAAATTTTTAAATTACTTTCTACCTCCATCATCATTTCTTTTTTCTTTTTTTAAAGATTAGTCTTAGTTTAAAAAATAAAAATAATAGAAATTGGTAAAAGTAAAATAAAAATATACAGGTGGGTTTTAATATTTTACGCATTATACAAAGTATTAACATATCACTTCTTATTTTTTAGAAAAAATTATCTACAATAATTTCAACTTTACCGGACGGCTTGTTCTTTTAAAAAATAAGTAGTACATTAAGACTCCGTATAGTGTGTAAAATGTTAAAACCCACCACTCCGTATATATTTATTATATTTTTTACCAGTTTCTATTTAATTTCTATTGATTACATTATTTATTTGATTAATTTTGTATGGTTTTAGTTATTTTTCTCATTTTCATTATTTTTTATATATCTATTTTTTTTAAGGTAAGAATAATCTTTAAAAAAGAAAAAAAATGGAGGTTGAAAGTAATTCAAAAAATTTAAATAAAAATTTCAAAAAAAATTAAAAAACAAAAATTCATCAAAAATAATCCCAACTTTCATTTTGTTGCCTAAAATGAGCATTTACGTTAACCCTCCGTTAAAAACTTAACGGCAACCCAAAACTGGCAAATTTCAATAAAGTTGGGATTATTATGCATCACAGTGAAAGGTGGAATTATTTTTGAAAGACCGGATAAAGTTGGGATTATTTTGGGTAATTTTTCCTTTTCAAATAGGTTTACAAGCATGTATCAAATGTGCTGGGTTTATTATTTTTTTAATAATAGTTTTTTTTGTTATAACATAAGTGTGTTGCTTAGTTATTTTTTACGGAGTATAAAGATTGGTTGAATTTATTTGTAAAATAATTTTATCCATTCCAAATAATTTTGTAATTATATGTATTCCAAATACTTCGTAAATTTCAACCACGCACTTTTTTTAAATATAAAAAGTATAAGCTTAATTTGATTTATCAAACAAACATATAAAAAAGTTGAAATATAATTGGTCTCAAAAAATGAAAACTAAGATTATGTAAAAAAAACATTCAAACTTTTATGTCAATATTTAAAAATATTTGTATTTTATAAATCTATCTATCTATATACAAAGGTAGAAGGCAAATTGATACAGTAACTTTGTCAATTATTCCCGCCCATTTAGCTGAACAGTAATCCGAAAGCGTATGGGGAAAGCTAAGCGGTTCCTTTTTTTTCTAAAGGCTCAAACGCCATTTATCCTCTCATGTCTCTCAGATGGGCAGAGACGTGCGCCGCCGCTCTCATCTTCGGCCGGAGTCCGTCCCGTGGTTCCTCTGAATTATGGGTTCTATCCCGCCCGTTGGCCATTCTCTTCCACGACCGCACAACGGCAATGAAGATTGGTTTTCTTCATCTTCAAGCGAAAAAGAATCTGAAGAATCTAAGGTAAAATCAAGAGAATCGTCCGCTCCATCTCTGATAAAAAAATAGCAGGGGAGGGCTGCGTGAAATAGCCTTGACCTAGGGTTATGACCCCAGCCATGGATTGTGACGAGAAAGACGATTGGCCTACTGATGCAGGTCTTCTTCTTCCTCATTTTTTTCTTCTTCTTCTTATCTTTGATTTAACATATTTACTGAAGTATATGTTTGATATTAGCTGCTCTTCTTCTGATATTTACCGATTAAGACATCTTCGTTTTTAATATTATTGATTAAATTTAGAATTGCATTTTCAAATTTCTTAAAAAAATTAAATGTTTAGGTGAATTGAATTGGGGTTTTGTTTATAGGGTGATTCAAAAGATGTCTTCTCCCTTATATTCTTTGGGTGGAAAACATTTCAAAAAAGGCATGAAGGTGTGTAATTTCATCGACAGCTTATTTATTCTGATTACTTATTTAAATTCATCATTAGGATGATGTTTGTGTTTGTTTATAGTTCAATTTTTCATATTGATTACAAGAGATTTGTAGTTTACAGATGGAATTCATTTGACTATTGAAGAGAGACAACTATAAACTGGATTTTTTTGTATGTTTGATTGTCTTTTAGATTTTTATTACTACATGTGTCTCTTCTATTTCATGGAGTGGCCAATCCATTCATTAAATGTTCATATTTTTATTACTACATGTGTCTTTTACATTTTTATTACAACGACATGGAAGGTATGTTTGTGGGTGTGTTCAGTTTTCTAAAAAAATTGTTTACCTTCTAGAAGATGTCTTTTTTAAAAAAAATGTTTTTTAACAAGTTTTTTTTGTTTCGATCAATTATCTCAACATGATTGAGGTGGATGGCTTTGACTATGATGGTCTTTGACTCTGTTCATTGTGTTAACTTTATATTTAATTTGATTACTCTTCTTTTTTTCATGCAATGCTATTTTTTCGATACTTTTACTTGAAATTTTTTTATCCATTTACTTTATATCAATTTATTTATTATAAATGTATAATTTTTCTTTGTTTATGGGTGTTTATATAGTGGTGAACAACACATGATTATTCTTAAGCCTTATTAAGTCTTCCTTCATCTAGCACTGAAGCCATACTCTATCTTACTATCCACACATTGAAACTTGCTATGAGTTCTATCCACTATTGCATCCATTTGTGCATAAGACGCTCTTTCCAATTGGGCAAGGTAATAGTTTAGTTTATAAATGGAGACTATAGTTTTGATCCTTTTATTTGAGAAAATATGTGGTTTTGAGTACACTTGAAGACAATGCAAAGTTTGGTTTGGATTTCTTTGAGCTTGGGGTTGTACCTTCTGGCCTCTTTTTCTTCTTTTTTACTTCCCTTTTTATCTCTTTCTTTTTTTCTTTCCTTTAATTTACAAGTAGTATCCGGATTGGTCTTCCCTTAATAACTTTTCTTTTTTAATTTTAACAAATTATTTGAAACGTTAGTGTAAGTGATTAAGTTTGAATTGTGACTATGAATACCCAATGGTACCTTTGGGTATATGTTTTTGAATCCACCATCTATACTATATACAAAGCAAAAAGGAAGAATTGAACAGTGTTTATTTCCCATACATTTTATTGGTTTTGGATAAGGGTCTGATGGGCGAGTTAAGCACACAAATGTGTAGCGTATCGAGAAAGTTTTAGTCTTCAATAAATAAACCGGTGAGGGAAATGCTGTTGCTTCAATCAAAGATGACGGAGGTGGGTTCACCCGGCCTTGCGCCTTTGCTCTCATCTTTCACCAGAGTTTGCAGTAAGCCTTCTGATCGAGATCTCTTTTTTATTTACATTTATTTTCTATCTAGATGTGGCAATGGCTATGCATCTTGATTCGAAAATCGCACCTTGAATCTGTAAAAGACGTCTACAAGTAGTATGTGCGGTATAGTTGTGCCTTGAATAAGCCAACTGGGGTCGAGACACAGAGACTACAACTTTGAGCTAGGGTTTGTCAGTTCTTCTACTTCGATCTCAATTTACGGTTCTAAATCTTTCTCCATGGCTATTTCTTTTCACTTTGCAGTTTATTTTTTATTTTTTTTCTTATTTCAAAAACTAATATGGTCCACCGTAGCAAAATGGGGACAGGCAAAGAAGATGGGCCATGATATACCAGGTAAAATGTTTTTATTCGGTGTGCTATTGAATAAATTAAAGATTTTTTAGGGTTTTCTATAAGTAATCCAGTGTCTTGGAAGCATGTTACCCAGATAGTATGTTTAGAATTTAAAATTGGAAGCTTGATTGAATTCTGTGTTCTTTTTTATTAATTTTTTTCAATATTTAAAGATAAAGCTTTGGTCTATCGTATTGTCATCTTCCAACAATGTGAATGATACGGTAATTGTGTTCCCTTTATGATACCCTGGAAGTATGATCGGAATTTAAAATTGGAAGCATGATTGAATTCTTTGTCTTTTTTTCTTTGTAATTTTATTCAATATTAAAGCTAAAGCTTTGCTTTGTTGTATTCTCAACCTCAACCTCAGTCAATGTTGTCAAGTAAAGAGAAAGGTATGTTTACTTTATTCTAATGGATTGATTTTTTAAGTAAACACTCATTTTTTTCATTAGTTCATTTTATTATTCGTGGTAGCATTATTCCTTTTCTTTTTGCTATGATAATTTTTTTCAGTGACCAATATGTATCAAGGACATAAATGACAATAACCATCTCATGATTTCTACATGGTGTTCGTTTTAAGTTATTACTATGCTGCTAACTTTTGGTAAAAAGATACTGGAAAGGTATTTTTTTAGTGATTCAATGAAGGTGGAATAACTTAAAGCTTTTTTCAGAATCAAGTAATGACAAAGGTATGTTTACTCAATTCTAATGGATTGGTTTTTTTCATAAACACTCATATTCTTCGTTAGTTCATTTTATTGTTCGTACTTCGTAGTAGTGAGATTAATACTCCATGAAAAGCTTTTCCAACCAACTTTTAAAACACTACTTTTTGATTTACTTCACATACTTAGTTGAAGAAAACATGGTCTTAATTGTTTAGTACTCCATGACATGGAGTAGAAAAAAGGTAGGGGTTGAAGTCATCATTTGGTTGGAGTTGCTAGAAAAGATCAATTTAACTCCTTTTTTAATACATACTCATTTGTAATACGGAGTATATTTTTCCAAGGTAGAGAGGGATGACACTGAGTGACACGGTCCCAGTTGTATGAGATTTTTAAAACACAACCTTCAAAGGTGTTATAGCTATTTATTTTTAAAGTAGCTTTGAGAATTCATGTGATCCTCAAACACTTAACTCAATTTATTAATAGTCTACATGACTCTTCTTTATCAAAATAGTAGAATGCTTTTATTGTCATATAAATTTGGGGCTTTTTTTACCGATTGATAAAAAATGGGGATTTCTTAAAACTGCAGTTATGCAAATGAATTGTTAATTTGTTCGTGTAAATTATTTTTGAGAGAAAACAATTTAGGGATGGTTCTGCATGGTTGGGCAAATTTACTTTACTCAAAATAACTCTCTTGCTCTATGTTTGTTGTAGTGAATAGAAGAGACCTTACTCTGATGCATATTTCGAATAAGAGGATGATGGTTCAAGGTGGGGACGAGTAGTATGAATCTTACATTCAAATGCTTAGTGCAACTTCGCTACAGCTTTACTTTCATTTAATTTTGGAGCAAATGTGTTGTTTGAAATGCCATAGCTTATTACCATGTATTTTTTTCTCACCGAAATTGATGTTATTTTTAAAAATTGTTTGAAAAGATAGGTTCTGCACATTTGGTTATTTTTTTTTCAATTTGAATTTTTATAGTTACATTAAAAAATGAGTGCAAGTAAGGGGCTACTCAAAAAATAACTTCTAATGGTGAAATTCAAAAGTTGCTTTGAAAAAACTCAACTGGATAAAGTGTTTAGATTTTGATGGAATATAAAAATGTATGTAGAATTTTGGTTCATGGTTTTAGTTCAAGAAGATTGTTTATCTCATTCTTTGAGAGACAACTTAAATCTTCAAGTGAATTGTAATGTTTTATAGATTTGTCACCCGGGGGTTCAAGTGACATTGAATTCCAATGTCATTGTTTGACTCAGGGCATCTATGGTTCTCTGTTTGAAAAATTGATGATTCTATCTTCGATGATTCTTCCAATTGCACCCCACAAATTTAATTGACTTTGAAATTAAAATTTAACTCTAAAATTAATTAATTTTTGTGAGATGTAATTGGAAGGGATGGAGGGAGGGGCCGGGGGGTTGGTTTGTGTTGGGACGGGGTGGTGGGGGAGGATTACCGGGGGTGTTTGGAAGGTAGGAGCCATCAATTTTTTGAATAGAACACTGAATTTTCTCTAATCAAGGGTGATGTCATAACATGACATGAGAGTCTAATGTGACTCGAACCTCCCCGTAGATTTTTCATTGCATTTATTATCAAGTTCACTTTATGTACTACCTAAAAAGTTGTTAAATAAAATTTTGAAGAAATCTTTATGCATTGAATCTATATTATTGATATTTTGTATCAAGAATATACTTTTGTGCATCTTTATATCTAATGAACTATTGCGTATAATATTTCTTTCATTTATATTTTTTTGAAATGCACAACAGTTAGTAATTATTATTTTTATTTCAATTAATTTTTTATACGTGATAATAACAGTTTTACATAAATTTGTAACTTGATTTTTTGACCGTGCAACGCACGGGTACGAGTCTAGTATTTAATAATACAAAAATCATATGAGTTATATTGTGAATAATATTTTAGTAGTCTTTTTGGTATAAGAGATGAGGAGGAGTAAAGGAGAAGTTGTGTATTGGGTCCCAAAAAAGATGATGTGGAGGAGAGAAGGAGAGTAGTCCTCCACTTTAGTAGTCCTTCCATTGTGGGTGCTCTTAAGGTGTGGAATAAAAATTCTTCTCGAGACATTTAGGGGCTGTTTGTTTCAATCTCTTAATGGTTCAGATGTTTGAATGGTTCAGCACTTAATGGTTCAGACTGTTTGTTTCAGCCTCTTAATGGTTCAGATGTCTGAATGGTTCAGACATTTGCCTCTGAATGGTTAAGTATTATACAGAGTCTGAATGGTTAAGACCTCTTATCTGAATTGATCAGACATTTGCCTCTGAATAGTTAAGCAATATACTAGCTCTTAAGTATTATTAGGTTTTGACAATACAGAGTCTGAATGGTTAAGACCTCTTATCTGAATTGATCAGACATTAAGAGCTAGTATATTGCTTAACTATTCAGAGGCAAATGTCTGATCAATTCAAATAAGAGGTCTTAACCATTCAGACTCTGTATAATACTTAACTATTCAGAGGCAAATCTCTTAACTATTCAGACATCTGAACCATTAAAAGGTTGAAACAAACAGTCTGAACCATTAAGTGCTGAACCATTCAGACATCTGAACCATTAAGAGGCTGAAACAAACAGCCCCTAAGTCCTTCCCCTTTTGGTGGAATCTACTCCCTCCGTCTCAGAAAACTTTTCTCCTTTCTTTTTTCATCTGTCCCACAAAACACTTCTCATTTCTATTAAAAAGTCACTTTTACCCCTTACTTTTCTATACCATACCTATCACATCATACCTTTTTACTAATAATCTATCCATCAAATCATACTTTTACCCATCACATCAAAGGACATTTTTGGAAATTCAAAACCAAAATACACTCCCCTTAAATCCCTCTTAAAAATCAAAACTTCCATGTTTTACGGGACGGAGAGAGTAATAGATAGTATAACGGTTCATGTCATTTATTGTATTTGTTTTAGAATGAGATTATGATATTAACTATCATGGATCATCAATGCCTACCAAAACTACGGGGATACTCCATTACAAATGGTTTATTCTTGCCTATCAACAAGAACCCAGTTGGACCCTGCATCATTTTCTCTCTTGCCCTGGTAATTGATCTCGTTCGATCTTTAATTAACGGGCTATGATGTGCAATTATTAGCGATTTTTGATAGAGATGTGGGTGCTATCCCATCAATTACCATGACAGATTTTATGTTTACTTGGGTGGAGAGAATTGAGATGGCTTCAAAGTTTACCAAAAATACCCTTTATGAAAAATGGTGGAGTATATTAAATGAGGTGGGTGAGGTGTAATAATAAAGAAAGGAAATTAGATAGTTGTGGTATTTTGAATGTTAGAAAAGGTAATGAGAAAATATATGGGAGATAGAGGAAGTATTTCATATCCCGGAAGTATTTCATAGCCCTTATTTTGGAACGGAGGGAGGATAATCCCAACTCTAGGGGTCTGGTTGATATCAGTACTGATTGTTTTTTAATCAGCGAAATATGAGAATGAACACGAGCATTTGGAATCTAAAGAATTTCAAGAGAACAAACATTCTGGCTGATAGAGGACTATATTTAGTTATTTATCATTATTATTATATTACTATCATTATTATATGTAGTTTTATTATTTATGGATAGGTAATTATATTATAATTAGGAAGTATAATTATATTAGGTTATTAGTGTTATGGTTTATTTAGTTACCTTGTATGGTTAGGATTCTCTAGATCCACCATCTATATATGTAGCCATTACTCATAAAATTATTAATCAATCAATACAGAAATATTTCTCCTAAACCCTAATCTTTCTCTCTTTCTCGCCTCTTCTGTTCTTGGAGCTCGAAGGTGCTCGAAATCCTTCCCTATCCCAATGCGATATCGTATCAATTGGTGCTTTCATTCTTGAACTCACCTAAAAAAAATTACAAAAAAAAAAAAAGGTTTCGGCCACAAAATCCAATTTCAAACCCAGACAAGCGTCGCCCCGCCTACCAATCTCCAGATTGACTCTTTTGATTTTGGTGATTTACTCCGGGGTAGAATTCAACATCAAAAAAAAATCAAAAGACATAGCAGTACAGGCGCACAGTGTTGATGAAATTACCCCACTAAATTCATCTTACAAAATTACAGGTATTACCATCCATTTTGTTTTCCAATTTTGGATTGGTACTATTGCGGCAAGTGACGAAAACATTTGGGACGTCGGAAAGTGACGTTGTTGTCCTTTATGATTCTGAGGATGTTGCACATGATTGCATAATAATCCTATTCTTGGTTGCCTGGAACTATTTACTTGACACTGGNAATGAACACGAGCATTTGGAATCTAAAGAATTTCAAGAGAACAAACATTCTGGCTGATAGAGGACTATATTTAGTTATTTATCATTATTATTATATTACTATCATTATTATATGTAGTTTTATTATTTATGGATAGGTAATTATATTATAATTAGGAAGTATAATTATATTAGGTTATTAGTGTTATGGTTTATTTAGTTACCTTGTATGGTTAGGATTCTCTAGATCCACCATCTATATATGTAGCCATTACTCATAAAATTATTAATATATCAATAAAGAAATATTTCTCCTAAACCCTAATCTTTCTCTCTTTCTCGCCTCTTCTGTTCTTGGAGCTCGAAATCCTTCCCTATCCCGATACGATATCGTATCACTGGCTTTGCTTGTGAGCTAATGTTCTTCTTTAGTCTTTTGGAATTTGCTTTGGCATAAGTTACTTGCCCATACATTTTGTAGTGTTTTGCAGTATTTGAAGAACTTCAGACCTGCTTTGGTTGCTAGAGCTGGCAAGTACAGAGCTTGAGCACAGTGTTAAGAGCACAAGATTTGGTTAATTGAAGGGTTGGGCTATGCAGCAACTTGCTAATAAACGCGAGAAGAATCTCGTGGACAAATGCCTCACCGAAGACAGCGGTGTTGGTGTTAAAGCTACGAGAATAGTGATGGCTTGTTTGAACGAATGTCCAGCCGAGCGTCCGGAGGCAAAATGTCTCCTCAGGGCATTCGAGGGTTTGAAGGGAGAAAAGAATGGAGCTGCCCAAAAACAGAGCGGTTTGGAGCATGAGGCGTCCTCGGCTTAGAGGACCGGCCGATGAGGCGATGGCTGAACAGTATGTTGAAAGGATAAACTCCATCCCTAAAAGCCACTCAAAACCGGTTGGACGGTCACATGAAAAGAGTCTGTTGCAGGGTCAATCGAAGAGTCTGTTGGGGCTTATTAGTGGGGCTTGAGATGTAGTAGTAGTATACTCTATTCATGAGTATTTTTCAGTTTTGACTTTTTTCGGTCAAAATTTGTTAACTTTGACTTTATATTAAATAAAAATGACATTAGATAGTGATACAAAATGATTTTAATACAAAATATTTTTAAAATATTATTTTATCTACTTAATATATAATATATATTTTATTTAATTATAAGTCAAAGTTAAAAATAATAGACTCAAAAAAGTCAAATGAGACGAATACTCTATAGTAGTATTTACTATAGCATGGCGTGTTGTGGTGGGTGTTGAGGGTGACTGAATTATTTCATTGTAGAAAATGCATTGAATTATTTAAGGGTTCGTTTGGAAATTGGGAAAATAATCGGTGGAAAATGACTTTTGAAAGATGACTAATTTTCTTGAAGTCAATTCGCTTTTCTGGTGTTTGGTTGAAAGCTTGAAAAATGACTTCTTATTTGGCTTTTTTATGGAAAATGAATAATTAGAAAATGAATATCCAAAATTATAGCATCCAATGTGCATTTTTTAGCATCACCGCAATTTATGTATATAAAATCCAATATTCTACAATTCAAGATTATGCAATGAAAAGAACATATTATCATATTATCAAAATAAAATTCTTATAGTAATTATCTTTTCCAATCCCAAAATATATGGACTATTATACAGCAAAAAATTAATTAAAGATGTAGTAATCTAAATTGGTAATTACTTATTTTCAATCTCAATGCTATGGATTTAAAAAGAAAGGAGTTGGCCGGAAGGAAATGAATGGATTGGGGCAGAATAGTCGAATATGGTTGAAACTTGAAAATGAAGGAATAGCACAAAATAGCATTTGATGATGAAAAAGAAAATCAACAAAAAAAGAGTTGTGAGACATCTGCAAAAAAATTATCGAGATGACTCGTTAATTGAGTAATGCTTAATTTATTATCCCGATTAATACTTCCTCCGTTCCAAATTATTTGTCACATTGCTATTACTGAGGCAAAATATAAGTTTTTTCAATTCATTTTATTTACATATTGGTAAATAAATAAAAAATAAAAATTACATATAAAAAAACTACATGAAAAGTTATTCGAAATAAGAGGTGTCAAGAATATTTTATTTTATCAAATAACCAATGAAAACGTCGAAATAAACAAAAGTTTCCGCGACTGCTGAAAAAGCAAATGTTGTGAATATTTAAGGGCGGAGGGAGTAATCGTTATAATGACGTTAAAAATTATACCGACCTGACTCGTACCTCGACTACTAATCATTAAAATGTTCAGTTTAGTGCCCCGACTAACAATCGTTAAAAGATCATTATGAAAATTTTGAAAACACAGAGATTTACTCGATAATTTATGAAAAAAAAACTAGTGAGCGTTGCGTAGTTGGTAAAGGCATGAAGTGGCAAAGGAGTTGATCTGAATTTGATTTTTAGCAATTGTGCTAAGAAGTAACTATGTTAAGCGGATCTCTACAAGTACGAGGTGTATGCTCTTGTCACTAATGTGCAATTAAAATCCAATTTAGTATTTGGGTCTATCATTGCTGCAAGTGCATTCATCTGTTTGAAAATAATATTAGAGATTAACGTTATCGTTTTAAAAAGACTATCTACGAACAGCGTTTCACGTTAGCGTTTTCAAAATAATCTGCAACGTATAAGTTTTTTCCAAGAGGAATGCTAGGGGTACACCATTTGGTGTACCCCATTTGTCCCCCAACCCTTTTCCACCATTTAATTTTATTTTATTTTTATTTAGAAAAATGCTAGGGGTACACCAAATGTGTACCCCATATATCCCCACCCCCTCCTTATCCACTAAAAAAAGCAAAAAAAATTAAAAAAATAAGTAAATAAAAATCAAATAAAAATATGTGGTGGAAAAAGGGGTGGTGTACATTTGGGGTACACCTTTTGGTGTACCCCTAGCATTGCTCTTTTATTTATTTAATTTTTTTTTATTTTCTTGCCTTTTTTTGTGGTGATGGAGGGAGTGGAGTACAAATTCCCCTGACCAGGGCCGGCCCAGAAAAAGTAAAAAATAAAATTGGCTCAGTTCAAAATTTACATTTTGTGCCATATTTTATATTTTTAGAATACTTTTACTTTAAAATTATTAAAAAATTTAAAAATATGGTGCCCTAAATTTTAAGAGGCCCTGTGCGGTTGACCACTTTGCACACCTTCCGGACCATCCATGCCCCTGACATCTTTCTTTTTCCAAAGACCCTAAAACTATTTTCTAAAACTATTTTCAAACATACCCACAATCAAAACCCTTGATCAAGGGAACCCTAGCTGGACAGTGAGAGAAAGAGAGCGTTGGATTTCGCCGGCCGGAGAATAGAAAATCCTCAACCCACGACGGCACGATGCATCTCCATGAAATTCAGACTCTGTGATCAGGTATGGATCCCTGTCCGCTCACCGTACTGTACGTTATATGATCATAAAACTATGCTATTTTAAGACGATGAAGCTGATGATCGATCACATTAATTCCTCTTGGTTTAGGAACGGAGAATATAGATTCCTCTACCCACTGCCCAACTCAGTTTGAAAAAGAACAATAACCAGTAGCCTACAGCGAGGAAGGCTTAAACCAAGTGCTGTCTTCCTCAAAATTGAATCAGGTCAACCTTGAAATGCAGAAATCAGGTATGTGTGTGTGTGTATGTTTGTATTTCAAGATGAATCTTTTTTTTTGCATTATCAAATTTTATGATCAAAGTTTATCAATTTTTACCACAACACAAAGTGTAACCCTCTATTGATTTTGCTGCCCTTATTGAAATCCATCCTAAGAATGAATGCTCTCGTGGCTCGCATTACTTCATATGCCCCTCTGTGCTAGAACTAACTGGCAATTTAGTATGTCCCTTGAGAGACCTTACAAGAACACTATTACTTCTCAAACTGTAGGAAACGCCAAGAGGGAAATGACTCTGCCAAGCAAAGCTGCATCTGATTTCAAATTCAACAGCGGTGCAAAATCCGAAGAAGACGAAGATGTCACCATCTTTTTCCGTTTGCATCGACAAATCTTTGATTATACAAAAGACGTTGCAACCCTTGAAGACAAGTGGTTTTCTATTTCAACACGGCACGCGTCTCCCCATAAAGATGGAGATAAATTCCTCCCCCCGATCACTAGGGAGCCAGATCAACAGTATTACGATTTTTGTCCTACTCCTCCATTTGCCGTAGGGCCTTATCTATTCACCATCCGTGTTGTAGACGACGAGACGGATGAAGACGCAATTTCACGGCGTGTGTTCTATCTTGACACGCGAAATATCAAGGATGGGTGGAAGGAAGCTCCTCGCCCGCAGGGTATTGAAACCTGCAATTACTGCTTCTTTCAGGCCAATGACAATATTTATGCACTGGGAGTCTTTGAGGAATTCTTGTTCGACTTAAAGTGTCTTGATTGCCATGAATTGAGTAAAGGCTGGCAGTCCTTATCTTCCATTAGTGATGAACTCTCAGACTCCCCGCTCGGCTTTTGCCTCTATGCATTCAAACTTGAATATGCAACTACTGCCGAGCCTGCTACTAGTAAAATTTGTCATGCTACGCGTGCCGTGATTTTCTTATTGGGCAGACGGATTTCCTATGATTTTGAGAGCAATAGTTTTGATGTGTCTGAGTCGCACATTGGGCACAAGTTTTACTGCAGAGGTGTTGGTGTTGGGGATTTGATTTACTTTTTGCGTGATAATCAACCAAATAAAAGAGCCATCCTCATGGCCTACAATGACCGTCTCCACAAATGGTACCCAACTCCAGTTCTTGGTTTGGACAACTCTAATCATGCTTTGCCAGTGGGCTATAAACTATATCGACGTTTTATAGTGGAATATCCCCCTGCAAAATTGTTGGTCATACGCGAAGGACGTCTCTGTATTCTTTGGGCTGATATTCGCTCTGATGTCACTCAAATTCACTGTACCAAATTTAATGTTCACGTGAAAGATGAGCAACCACATGCTGTTAATGTGTCCACCCAAGTGTACAGAGTCAAGGGTTTTCATACTGAAAATTTAGAGGCCGTGTAAGTCTCTCTCTCTCTCTCTCTCTCTCTCTCTTGTCTGTGTGTGTCTGTGCTCGCTTGTGTTTCTATTGTGCTTTATGTAGTTGCTTGAGGATTTTATCTCTTAGAGATTGGGAGCTTTCTGGGAGATGAAACGTGTTACTTTATAGTCATTTTGTATGTCTGTATTCTTTTGTTTATTGGGGTGGGGGAAGAAACTTTGTAAGTTGGGATCATATGTCAAAAATGTTGGGAGCTCGCCCTCATGTGTAGAGTGAGCGAGCCACCCTATGCATGTGGCAGCGTAATATTGGAGTTACGATTTGTACTCTCAAGTTGAGAGTTCATTTGCCAATTGGTTTAATTGCTTTCTTCTTCAACAGTTTTAGTAGCAGCGAGACGATACGGCAATTCCTGGAAAGAGAAAGCTCACAGGCTGGTAGGCCGTCCGAGGTATGATACAAGCTTCATTGACTTTATGTGTCGATCATCACTTTATGCTAGTGTCACCCTATTGGTTCATTGACTTTATGCATCGATCATCAGTGTATGCTAGTGTCACCCTATTGGTTCGTTGACTTTATGCGTTGGTCATCAGTGTATGCTAGTGTCACCCTATTGGTTCATTGACTTTATGTGTCGATCATCAGTGTATGCTGGTGTCACCCTATTGGCATTGTCGTCTGGTGTCATTAACGGTGAATATGTGTGTGTTGTAATTGTCATGCAGAGCCAGCCCGGTAAAGCGCATAAAGGCAAAGGCGTGAGAAGGCAATGCAATGGGTCAAGCTAGACGGCGACTATGAATCAATAGATGGTAGCGTTCACGTCCCGTGTCTCTATTAAATATGAATTCGTAAGGTAATCATAATTCAAGTGATGTGAACGAATGATATGTAATTATGTTCAACCCGTAGCGTTCGATGCGTTGAGGATCTCATTAGACATTAGGAGCGGGGGTGAATTTGGCGTCTCCTCTATTAGTTAATCACTTATTTAAGTGCTTCCCTTTTGCTTGTAATTTGTATCAAAATTTTGTTGAATTTCTAGAACTCATAACGTAAACCAAGTGAATTAAATAGAAATAGTACTCGTAAAACAAAATAAAATTGAAGCTAAATAGAAATACTAGTAATAATTATTTGAGTAAATTCCATAATTAGTCCTTTATAACAGGAAGATTTTCCTATTTAGTCCTTTATTATCAAATATTACCCAGTGGTCTTTCTTTTATGGGTATCTTTCCAGAAATAGTCCTTTTTTTGATCTTTAATCATGTTGGTATTAATTTCAAGGCTAAAAATGTAATTTCACAATGATAAATCTTTTTTGTCATACACAACTCCAAAGGCTATTCCGTTTGCGTCGTTTGTGAATTACAGTCGCTTTCTACTACAACCATAATCTACAAATGTGGTTTTTCGTCAGAATTCTAGCTCACAATTATAGTCATTATTTTTGTGTTATCCGCTTAACCAATATCAGAACACGTTACTATACATAATGTTGATGTCAAATTATACTTTTAGCCTTTAAATTTACACCAACATGACAGAAGATTGAAAAAAGGACCATTTTTTGAAAGGCACCCTTAAAAAAGGACTACGGGGGTAATATTTGATAATAGATGACTAAATATGGAAACCCTTCTGTTATAAAGGACCAATTATGAAATTTACGTACAAGAACCATTTAATTAATAATCTTTTGTGAGGTTGACTAATTTGATTCAAATTGTATTAGTTTGACGCAAACGATAGAGTAAATTCCATAAAACGTCCCCAATTATAGGTCGTTTTACATATTTAGTCCCTACATATCAAATATTACTAATTTAGTCCCCAATTATTATATTCATTTCCACGAATGGTCCTTTGTTAATAATTCCGTTAAGAACGTAGACAAAATTGTATATTTATACTTCTCTCTCCTCAATTAAGCTTCTTCCATCTTCTCATACTCTTTCCCAAACTCGTCACTGAATTTAAGTTCTTAAATCTAAAATTTAAATGATCATTCATCCAGTTAGATAAACAATTGAGAGAAGAGTGATAATTTTGGTTTTTGGTTCAAAGCTAGAAACTCAGCGACGGGTTTGGGATAGGAGTGCAAGGGAAGCTTAATTGAATTTATAATTTTATCCACATTCTTAACGAAAATATTAACAAAGGATCATTCGTGGAAATGAATATAATAATTGGGGACTAAATTAGTAATATTTGATATGTAGGGACTAAATATGTAAAACGACCTATAACTGGGGACCTTTTATGGAATTTACTCCAAACGATAATACAAGGACTAAAACGAATTGTTATTCGACTTTAGGAGCTACAACCATTTTTATACTTCCTCCGGTCCTAAAAACCTTTCTTGTTTTGATTTTTTTAGTCAAACAGTGACACATTTTAACTATAAATTGTGATAAAAGTATATTTAATTTTAATATAAATTCAATATAGTTGGGTTTATCTTAAGATATAGTTCTGATATATTTTTATATCATTTATTTATATTATGTTTAATTTATAGTCAAAGAATGTCATTATTTGACCCAAAAAAAGTCAAAAATATGAAAGGTTTTTAGGACAGGAAGGAGTACTTTATTTATCAGTTACATCGATTACTCATATTTTTATATAGTACATGAATCTCTACATTATATGAAATTTTTTTGAATAAATTCTATAATTGGTCATTCATAACAGGGAGGTTTCCATATTTAGTCTTATATTATCAAATATTATTCTCACAGTCTTACATGGGTGCCTTTCCACAAATGGTCCTTTTTTAATCTTCTGTCATGCTGGGTTTAATTTAAAGGCTAAAACTATAATTTGACATTAATCTTATATCTAGTGACGTATGACGAATAACACAAAATAATGATTATAATTTTTAACTAGAATTTTGATGAAAGACCACATCTATAGACGATAGTTATAGTAAAAAACAAGTGTAATTCATAAACAATGCATCATGAGCGGTCTTTAGAGTTTTGTATGACAAGAAAAATACTCCCTCCGTCCTAAAACTTTCTTCCCGTTGTGCAAAACGAAGAAAAATCCTAAGTTTTTTCAATCTATTTTATTTAAATATTGGTATATAAATAAAAAATAAACATACATATTTAAAAACTACATCAAAAGTTCAACAAAACAAGTGTTGACAAGAATATTTTATCTTATCATATAGGCCATGCAAAAACAAAAATAAATATAAATTCCCGTGAAGTTGAAATAGTGCTCTGGGAAGAAAGTTTTAGGACAGAGGGAGTATTTATTATCAATGTGAAATAATACTTTTAGTCCTTAAATTAACACAAAAATGATTGAAGATAAAAAAAGAACTATTTGTGAAAAAATACTCATAAAAGAAGAACTATCAGAATAATATTTGATAATTGAAGACTAAATAAGAAAACTTATATTATAAAAAACTAATTATGAAATTTAATCAAACAAATTTTAGTTGGATTTGGATGGACAAACAATTTAGGGGTTCATTACCCGCAAGGCAAGCATCCCGGCCAATTCACACTTCATACCAAACGGACTGCTGAGAAAAGCAAACGAGCCTTAACCCTAACTTTGTCGTTCCTCATTGGATCCTTCCAACTCGCCAGCGGCGAATTCACCAGCGGCCAGACTCCGGCGAGTTCGCATCCGGCCTCTCCTTCTCCACCTCGCCAGGGGCCGGACTCCACGAACTCCAGTCACGGCTGAACACAAGTCCGGCATCTCGAATCGCTCCTCCACGCACTTGGAATCACAGTTCTGCATCTGGTATGATTCGTTCGAAGCTTTTTTTGCCTAATTTGTTTGAATTTTGCATCTCAATTATGCGTCTTTGCATCTGGATTCCATCCAGCTTCAGATTTTGCATAATTAGCGGCCTAATTTGAGTTGAGAATCGAGCTTGTATCATATTTTCCCTAATTTTGAGCATTTTATTGTTAAACATCTGACAGAGTAATTTTTAATTCAGTTTAGTATCTTTTTTTTTGTTGTCATACAATTCTTTTTTGAGTGTGTGTTATAAATAAAAATAAATTATCCTGTTTGTCTAGAAACTGATTATAGGCTGTTTCTCTAAGAAAATATCATTATTTCTTATATGTGCCTTCATTAACTTTCAGGTCATGGCAGCAGCAAGAGTTGAATGCCTGGAGGTAATTTAATGGCTTATGTAATTATGTTGGGGATGGCTTTTGTTCTTTTTAAATTATATTTTGGCATCACTGCACTACATTTTTTTGTTCTTTTTAGTAAACTAATCAGTATGTATTATTGATAACATTTTAAAATATGGTAGGAGTCACTAGACTAAGCCACAAGACACTTGATTTTTAATCACATTAAATAGTTGAATTCGATTAATTACTTAGTTCAATCTAAGAGCTTGTAAGTCCACTGTTTGCTCTACAAACTTTTGATGCACAACTCTAACACATCCAATCAAGTGGACAACCAGGCTATTTTGTATTTAATCGATTGACTACTTGAAAATGAATTCTCGTCTCCCTGGTACAAATATGTGAAAATTTAGAGGCATTACCTAAAGGACCATGAACCACACGTGTCATATTTGGACTTTTCTTGTAGTGATGTGGCACACATCACATGTATCCCTCACCACACATGCAAATTAAATAATATACTACCTCCGTCCCAGAGTATTTGTCCACTTTCATTTTTACACACCATCCAATACACTTCTTTAATCCATTTTATCTTGTAATTTGTATATTAAAAAATTATAAAAATTATATATTAATAATCTATATGTTAAGACAAATCAAACAAGATCACACATGACTATATTTAAGCTTACACATTGAGAGAATTTGATGAGTCAAAGTGCTAAGATGAACAGTTCCAAAAGTCAAAAGTGGACGAATATAGCGAGACGGAGGGAGTGTATTTTTATTAGATTTGTATGGACCTTTCACTTTCCAACGTAAACAACCATTATATGGAGTGTTATTCATTATATTTCCACCACTTTAAAATACACACTCATATGTCTTAAATATGAATATTTTTAGGCGTAAATTCTATAATTAGTCCTTTCTAAATATAGCGGGACGGAGGGAGTATATTTTTATTAGATTTGTATGGACCTTTCACTTTCCAACGTAAACAACCATTATATGGAGTGTTATTCATTATATTTCCACCACTTTAAAATACACACTCATATGTCTTAAATATGAATATTTTTAGGTGTAAATTCTATAATTAGTCCTTTCTAAATATAGAGTTTTCCCTATTTAGTCCTATATTATCAAATATTACCTCGGTGGTCATTCTATTATAGGTATCTTTCCACAAATAGTCCTTTTTTGATCTTCAGTTTTGTTGGTATTAATTTGAGGGCTAATGGAATAATTTCACATTGATAATATGTCATTCTTATCATAGACAATTCCATAGGTCGCTCCTCATGCGTCATTTGTGAATTACAATCTCTTTCTACTACTACCATAACCTACAAATGTTGTATTTGGTTGGAATCTTAGTCCAGAGTCATAGTCATTATTGTTGTATTATCCGTCTAACCGACATCAAAATATGTCACTGTAGATAAGGTGGAAATCAAATTACACTTTTAGCCCCCGAATTAACACCAACATGACAAAAGATCAAAAAAAGACTATTTGTAGAAAAGTACCTATAAATGAAGGACCACAAGGATAATAGAGGACTAAAATGCAAAACCCCCTGTTACAAAGGACTAATGGTGAAATTTACTCTTTTTTTATTTATTGAAAAAGCATACATAAACTTTATGCTTTTAAAAATATTTTTTTTTATTTTTAAAACTATTCACCATTTGTTTTATTTTCTTAATTTTCAATATCCCTTTGCCTTTTTTAGTTTATTATACATGTTTTTTGGAACTAATTTATTTTTCTCTTCTTTATTATAGATTATTTTATAAGTTAAGTGTTAAGAGTTTTCAATATAGTAAATGGTCATTAGATAAAATGATATCATTGTTAAGTTGATTCAATCACATTTTTGATATTCTAAGTATGCTATTAATAGTAATTTTAATTGAAGTTTACAATTTTCTACATTGGCTACCTTAACAATGGAACTTTTAAAAAAATAATAAGTTTTTAATTTTAGAGGTATACTGAGAATTGATAATTTGTACAGAGTATTTTTCTAAACTCTAGAATATTTATTTGATAAAAAATCTACATCATTTATCATTTATCATTTATCATTTTTTTGATATGCCTTGAATCTCTACAAAATTTCTTACTCCACCCCAAAAACAACTTTTGGATCAGTTATAGCTTGTACTGTCCCACCATAAACTTTTAGATCAGATTCCCTTCCCACATTCCATGTACGCATGTAAGATTCATATGATTATAGAATACACATCATCAAAGTGCGAGACAGGTTTTGGATCACGTTGAGATGTTACATTACAAAAATTTTATAGGTCCAAGCCCGCATAGCGGGCCTACAACCCGAGCGGGGCTCGCATGGGTATCCGCTGGCTTCCAGCTCGCCCACATACAGAATAATTAAAAAAATTAAATAGTTTTTTTTTAAAATAAAACATAGTAATATCTTACTCCAAAATATATTAGACATTTAGGGCCCGTTTGTTTAAGAGGGAAACATTTTCCATCACATTTTTCATTGTTTTGTTTGAGGATTTTTCCCCCCAAAAATCAATTACCATTGTGAATATTTGAAAATTGAAATTTAAAATGATGTTCTGAGACAATTTAAAATTATTTTAGCAGCATAGGTAGGTAGGTGGGATGTGTAGGGTAGCGTGGGATGAGGTGGGGGTGTTGGTGTAGGGATGGGTGGCGAGTGACACGAGACGAT